CTGAAGTTCCTTTCTTTCCTCCGAAATCCTTTCCTTTTCCTTTTCCTGAACCTTTGAAGTTTCCTTTCATTCCTGTCTTTCCTCCTTTTCCTTTTCCTTTCATGAAGTTCTAGTGGCCGAAGCCACCTTTACCTCCTTTTCGTTTGAAGCCGAAGCCCTTTCCTTTTCCTCCTTTCTTTCCTTTGAAGTTTCCTTTCATTCCTTTCAAAGCTCCTACGTCCATCGGCGCTGGACCACAATGCGTATTTACAGAAATACTTGAAGCTGCGCCGTGCAACATCAGTCTAGATCTGAAGTACGAAACAATCACCTCACCGGTGCGTCTTGATCGAAGTCGAATTCAACCTCAAGTGTTGCTGCAAAGGACCTGAAGTCTTATTCAACAGCGTAGCTATAAGTACTCGTCGGGCAGCGAAGTGCCTGTCAGCGTCTCGCATCTGACCTTCACCGTCTCCCATGCGTTGAAGTCTTGCTCGAACGACGGTCCGTTAAACTTCCAATCCAACACTTGTGCAAGAAGTGCGTGCTCGCGCTGCGCGTTCGGCATGCTGAATGTTTGAAGACGTCTTCGCCATGTTTCCAATCCGTCGCCTACCATGTTTTGGCAGGCAACGGATTCGCGGCGCCCGAAGTAAGATTCGCGAGAAGCACATGCAGTTTTCGATTGAATCTCAGAAGTTCGATTCTTCGTTCTTGGGGAAACCTGTCGTTGTCGAAGTGGGTGTCTAGGATCTCTACATCTGAAGCGGCAGCTCTCTCTAGAATCTATAGAAGTTTTCCTATTGAAGGATCAAACCAAGGCACGTAGAGTGTGACATTCCAACGCCATTCTTCCCAGGCCTCAGGGTTACCACTAAAGACTGGAGGAAGTGGCAAACGAAGTTTGCCTGCNNACAAAGGCCTAGGAGCACGAAGCTCCGCTGCCATGAAAATTTTCACGAACGTTAAAGTATGTACAAACAGCGCTCAACCCTGAAGTCAGCAGAGCAGTATCTGAAGTCCTCTTTGTCCAGCAGCTTGAGCCACACACGAAGTGTGGAAGTGCAGGTCACTGCAGACTGACTGTACCGGGAAGTGTGCCAGAAGTGTTATATCTTGACTACAACAAACAACCACCACCACCACCAACAACAACAACAACAACCACCACAACCACAACCACAACCACAACCACAACCACACCCACAGCCACAGCCACAACCACAACCACAACCACCACAACAACAACCGACAACAACAACAACAACCGACAACAACAACAACGACGACGACAACAACGACAACAACAACGACAACGACAACGACAACCACAACAACAACAACAACGACAACGACAACGACAACGACAACGACAACGACAACGACAACAACAACAACAACAACGACGACGACGACGACAACAAAATCGATGTAGAAAATATAATGAATATCCTAAACTCCTAAACAGACGCAATTTAAGTGTATGAGGTTCTCTCACTACTCGCTATGTCACTGTTTTCACTATATATCCGTATCCGTTGGTCTATGTATCTTCCTACCTCTCAGCTGTGTAAACACATATCAAACACGAAGACTTCGGAGTCGCTTAACTTGCTGAAGACAGGGCAAACATGCAGGCGACGATGGCAACACGTAAGATCAGCAGGCGAATGAAGGAGAAAGCCGAATCGAAGAAGGGAGCGCCAAAGATGCATGCGCGCGCGCCGGGGAACAAGAGCAAGCTCCATGTCCATCCATCCATCCGGAGATCTTGCCATCCATCCTTCCATCCATTCATTCATGAATACGTACGTTCATGCATGCATCATCTGCGCCACAGCTGTATTTATAAGAAACACGATTTGTGTCGAAAAATGGGGGCTGATTTAAAAAGAATGTTCGCGCGCGCCGCCGGGGCTGGAAACCGGGGCCGCGAGGGCCGGGCCGCGAGGTCCGGGGCGGCGGGGCCGCGGGGCCGCGTCCATGCTCCACACTCCCACACCGCGCTGTTTACCCCCACACCCCGCGCTGTTTACCCCCCCCCCCCTCTCTGCCCCCACACCCCTACCCTACCCCGCCCCTACCCGGCCTACCCAGTACTTGGTCCAATGACCGAGCGGGTGCGGTCTGTGAGTCCGAGCCTCAGGCGAGCTGCAAAAGGCGCGACGTGCAACGCCGCCGACCGCACGCAATTTCGTGTTTTTTGGCGTAATTTTGGGGTAGCCATGGGTAGCCATGGACGACCACCCAAAGAACGCGGATCATGAGCATCAGCGACCCAGTCCGGGACGCAGGTCGCGCATCAGGAGCATCAGCGGCCTTGGTTTCGGCGTTGCGGCTTGGCTGTTAAGGCATTCAGGTGTGTGACCTTGCTCAGCCCCTAGGATATATTGGATTAGAAGACCTGCCAGCGCCGTGAGATCGGGCTTGTACAAACCATGCCGCATCTCACACGAGTCGGATGCAAGTCTCTTGCTGACGCATGTTGCCTGCATGATCTGGCATGTGACTTCGACCGTTTGTTCCCCTGGCTCTTCAGCACGAAAACGAAGAGCGCCGGAATCAAGAGGCGCATGGAGGTGGCAAGCAATCAGCTTGAGGCAATATTGAAGAGGGTTGATTGTGCAAGCTGGGTTTTCGGTTCACCTGAGGAAGACAGCACCCTTGAAGCCAAACGAGTGCCGCACAAACAACGCAGGATGGGCATTGATGACGCGTGGCCTCAGGAGGTCTCAGTCTTCTGGCAAACAACGATCCAACCGTCGCGCAAACAAGTGCTGGGGCACGAGCAACGTCGGCCGGTTGATTTTGAGCCACAGGCCACCAAATGCAAAAAGGCCCATGACTAGCAAGAAGGAGATGGAGTAGATAGCAGACAACCTGAATCCGGATGCAGACAGTAGACTGAGAAAAGAGCAAGAATATTAGGAGGGTATGCGAGGGTGCTTTGACTGGACTTCTCAAGGGCAGCACAAGGTGATGTCGCCATCCAGCATCACACACATGGATGAGCACACAGCAAAGAAGACCAAGATGGTGTAGTGCCTTTGTGGCAAAGGGATCGTGTCAAGCACAGTCTCTCGCACTGTGGCCGCTGGCGGAGTGTTTCTCCAGGAGTTCGTCTCACTGAAGAATTCTGGCAAGCACCTTCGAAAACAAGACTTTCTGCAAAACTATCGCACCTGCTCACTCCCTGCCACACGCGAGCCAAACGGGCAGGGGCGTGCGGTGATGCGTGGTGGAGTAGAGGTGGGGGCGGATTGGATGAGTCACCAGGTGGCAAAGGATTGGCTGATGTTGGCTGGGAGTGAGCGGGGTGGGATGTGTTTCGGGTTCCTGGTTTGACTAACGTCACGGATGTTGCAGGGGTTTCGAAGGCTTTGACAGGATTTGGTTCTGGGTTGGAAGGGAAAAGCGGGGTGGTATCGTCAACATGCAGGAAGCTTTCACATACGATGCTGTACGCCTCGATGTCTTGTCACGTCCGCTAGCGAAGGCCGGCACTCGGCCAGTTTTGTCGACACCTGAAGCACTTCCTGCCATAGGATCTCTCCACATCAAAGGTAAAGCCGCTAGCAGAGCAGGATCCCCTCATACCTCTGCTTATCAATTTGTTCACATACAGAGTACAGAATACACCACTATTTACCTGCTCAGTTGAAAAACTCTTCACGCAATCCCAACATCCGACTACATGACGTTACCCAGCTTGGGGTAGCCTCGATGGCAGTTAGGCTATGCTTCGATGGATGTTCGAGCTGGCACGGCCCGGGTGGGGTGCAGTAGGATTGCCCGCTGTGATGAAGGTAGGCAGTGTGTCCACATGCCGTTGCCCCTGTTTCCTAGAGTTTGCTGTCCAGGGTTTCCTGTCCGTACCCGCTTTCTCGTCTTATCCTTGGTTGGCTTGAGGTAACTCCTCAGGGCAAAGCTGCTTGGCAGGACTTGTGCCCGGGACTGGGCAATGCACGGGACTGTGCGGGCCGGGATGAGAGACATAAAGCAGTCTTGCAAAAAAGCATGCACATCCTCAAGACTCATTACTGCACGAGTTGACATGTCTGCTGACACAGAGCGAAGTTGATCTAGCTTTCCGGGCCTATCTCCAGCCATCCGCTGGAACAGGCCAACCACCTTGCAATGTCTTGCGAGGTTCTGCAAGGCAGCCACGCAAGCATCTGAGGAGCAAGCTCCCACATAGCTCGTTAACACAGATCCAGCCAGCACGAGAAGTGCCTTCGCACCAGCATCCAAAGTGGTTCCAAAAGAAGACTGCTCTGGGACCAAAGGATGCAGCATCAATTGCCACAACATCACGCAGGAAGGGTCCAGCAACCTTGGCAAAGAAGCAGGCGATCACTGCAGCTGTGGAAGCCGCATGCGCTTTGTCATTCGTTTCTCAGATATGGGCTCGCTCGGCAAGAAATGCAAGTGCGTATGCCGATTTCTCGCCTGCGCAGCAGGGTCTTCTTCGCAGCCATGCACCAAGCGTCCAGGGGCATTCTCTGATTCATGCCTGTTAGTTCGTCAAGTGGTATCACAGCCTCGCCAGCACTCGATCACTGTCCAATGCAGCTGCGACATTGCCGATTATGGTCGAGATTACTGCAGTCGCGCCACCACCGCGAGGCTTGGCAGGATAACGTTAATCACAGAGACACTCATCCACATGTTTCTGAGTGTCTTTGGAAAGACGCCTGCCAGGAGGGGGTGCCACCCACATGCCGGGGAGCATGCACGATGCTGAATGGCCTGGTTTCTGCTCCTCGACAAAATTTGCCGATGTTTCGAAGCCTGAGAACAATGATTCGGAGGTCACTGAGGCATGCTGCTGAATGTGTTTCAGGGCCCGGCCAGAAACTCCCAGCATTGCTGATGAGAATCCGAAGAATATCGAGTTCCAGAAAGGAGGCTGCCTCCAAGGCTTTGTTTCCGCACATGACTCCTCTTTGTTTCGGAGCGCCTCTCCCAGTTCATGTTGTCGTAAAGCTGACCCAGCCCTGCATCCTGTCGAGATGTAAACGCGAGACAAAATGTGTTCACTCAGATTCGCAGTGTCCTGGAGGAAGATAACACTAAATGTCCCCAGGATAAAGAAAACAGACCTCACCGAAAATGCGGCATTGCCACTTCCATAAGCTCAGCAGGGCCCACAATACTCCCCTTCGTTCAGCAGGGGGCAGATGGAACACAAAAAGCATCGAAGCCACCGCTGAGCTCTCCTGTGCAGTCACAACATGTGAAGCGGCGAATCGAGACTTCCACACTTCCTGCATACCCATTAGCATACATCCCGCGAAGAAGCCGAGAATGCAGATTGCTGTCGGCACCTCGACATCGCAACTCTCAAGCCGATGACTTCTATGAAAACGCGGAATATCTGAGCTACAAGCGCTTTCGATGGAGCTGAACATAGGCGAACATTTCAAGTAGTCTGCGGCACTCACTGAAGAAACAACACCCGTGGCTGTGTACCTTGGTGGCAAGATGTGACAAGCACAGTCCCGGAAGACACGATGGCTCGGCGGTCTCGTCGTCGCCACGTATACAGACGTCCAAAAGACTTGGCAACCCCCTAAGCCTCCTGCGACAAGATGGTAAGGCAGGCAGCAACGGATGCTGTCCTGATCAAACCATGCGACAATCACACAGGACAATCAAGCTTAAGCAACACCACACTCGCATCTGAGAAGGCAGCTGCTTGGTAGAAGAATTTAGAAGGAGGTTGTATATACCTCCATTCAGTGGCAGCGCTGTCACGACCTGCCCAAAGCGAGAATGTGCGGCCGAGAAGGACGGATTCACAGCTGCCTGAAAACTGTACCTTGAACATCTAACAACTACGGTTGCTGCACGATTGGACGGCCTCTCCATACACACTGCGAAAGCAGTACAAAGTCAGTGAAGAGAGTATCGTGCACACAGGCGAGTACCTGGCAAGGCTGCACCTAAACCGGCCGCCACTCGAGCTTGGCAAGCCGATGTGAGTACCGACCGTCAACAAAATTTAGCATGTAAACGCTCTTTAAAGTTTAACCTGCCAAGTTTCCCCACCATTTCCACGACTCGCGGCACGACACTTGGAGGATTTCGTGCTAGCACGTGCTCCCAAAAAATTCGCCTCGGCCCCGGCCGAAGCGGTCGTCAGAGGTTCCCACAAAGATTCCCTGTTTCCCCACCTCTGAATCCCCTGCGCAGTGACCCATCCCCCTGGTCGAAGCCCCCCCCCCCCCTTAAAACTGGATTTAGGGTTGGCAAGCCCTGCATCAACTGCTGGCGGAGACTGGGCTTGCCTCGAGCAAAACACACTTTGTCCTTTCGCCCCGCCCCCGCACCCACCCACTCCCTCTCCCCTTCCCTCGTCTCTTCCTTGAAGTGGGCAAAGCCGACAGGCTAGCTTACATCATTCGTGAAGTTGATGCCAAAGCCTAGGAATTCTGGGGCTGTGTCTTGTACTTTGTTGCAAAGCTTGATTCTCCATTCCCCTTCCGACATATGGGAGGCTATCGTGAGAAGTGTAATGCGATTTTCTGTGACGTCTACAGGCCTATACGATATCGCTGGGAATGTGCCACCTTTCGCGTGGGATTATTGCTCAGAGCCTCAGCATGAAAACAAATACTGACATCATGAACACATTCTGAAGCACCTTCGCGCAAGACATCACCTGTGTGACCTACCTGTTGCTTTCCGAAACAATGCACCTGCTTCAAGTACAGCCGGGCCCAGGCAGACGACGTCAAGCTTCCTTTACATTGCCCTGCCAACTTGCTTTCCGCAATCCTCCAAGTGTCCTTTCAAAATGCATCAAAGTATTGAATCAAGTTGGCAAGGCCAAAAATGTTGGCACCTTTCTGCGCTCCTCCAAACATAGCGTCGACACTCTTAAAACAAGGTAGGAACAAATAGGGGGAAGCTCCTCTATCCTTTATCTGAATGTCAACTCCCAGGTCCTGTAGCAAGACCTAAGAGGCCTATTGCTTCTTGCTTTCAGCCAATACAATTTCATATATTTTCAATAAGCCAAGGAACTTAGTAAAGCTTGTTGTTTTTTTCAAACGAAGTGTAAATAGCATACAGGGCAATTAAAGCATCAATAGCACTCTCATCCATTAATCACATACAAGCTGATAAGATGTAGAGCTCCGCAATCTCTTGGATACACATGCAACACAAGCGGGTAGGTGTCGAAAGTCTAGATGAAGGCTTTGGCATTTTGAGCACCGCAAGCTTCTGCACCGACATTATTAACACAAGCAGAGGTGCAGCTCGGAAGCAATGGGGATGCGAGCGAAAAAAGCGGAAGCTCTAGTGACGCCGGTGACAAACCTCGCAAGCTGATGCCTTGCAACGCGAATTCCGCAAGTTGAGCACAGATGCTAAGCATGAGTGGGTTGCACTCCAGCATTCTTGGAGAGCTCTCCCACCACATAAAAACCTGATCAGTCGTTCCTGCTGTAGTGTCATTAGCACCACTGGAGGACAGAACTGAGTCCAGCACAGCTGGCGGTGATGTCGTTTCCGCATATTGCAGTGCTGGGTAGCTCTCCGATCTTATGCGAATCATCCTCCTCGAAATGATGTTCTGTTCTGAAGGTCTATGGCATTATGAGTCGATTCTGAATCTTGGCTGCTGCTTCGCGCTTCCAGGCTCCTCATGCTCTGCTCCATGTGCGCAGGGTGTAAACTCTGCCGGCGTCAACTCCAGTATTTCACCTCAACTCAGACCCGACATCTTCGAGTTAGGCTAAGTTGGGTTACACACAGCTCTTGGCCCATTCTGTCTCCTGGGTCACGGAAGTAGCCTAGCAGGCTCGCAGACATCATGCCCCAAAACATATCAGTGTCGAACATTCCTCCGAGGCCTGCGAGCCCTTCCACCGTTTGTTGACGACAGTTCTGCAAAAAGGCATAAGCAGGCCTGCCAGTTCCACAAAGGACTGTGCGGACCAGTATGCGCAAAATGTTATGGCCTGTCTTGCAGCGACCGCTTATCCTCGCGCCTACATTTGGCAAGATGGTGGATGAAGAAAGTTCAGCGGTCTGGACCGAGCTTCGGGCGGGTGTAAGGGTTGACTTTTCTCCTTTCCCCTTGGCACCTTGGAAGTTTGCAACTGCAGAACATCAACGACACTACTCGGCATCGGTACCTTGCCGACCCCAAACCTCGACACAATGAACTCCTAAGTTAAGTGGCGAACGCTACGCGACGGCCTCCTTGATGCTAGGAGGCCAGCGGGACCAAGCTTACTTGTTTCTCAGGAGCACCCAAGGTAGATGATAACTAAATCAGGATTTAACGGTGTCCCGGGGAGTGCCAAAGCCTCAGTGAAATCAAATCGCGATGTGTAAAATTTCTCTCCGCGACACTTCACACTACAAAACAATTGAATCAGAATTTTATTCCCTTCCCGGTCATTGGTTTCAATTGTTGATGTTTTAACTGTTTCTAGCCTCCGATGGCTGGAACCTCCGGAACAAAAACAAAACGGGTGCTTCTCTGATGAAACCAACTGTGCATGGAGTGTAGATCAGAAGAATGAAACCTGCTGATCACTTCAGCTGTGACTACGAAGAGTGTCGACCTACAGTGCTTGTGCAAACACGACATGCTGCATGAAACGTGAAGGCAAGACTTAGGTAATCACCAGGAGCCACAAACAATTGCATGGCCCGCTCGGAACTGATCATGCTGCGTTGGCTGCTGCACAAAGAGTGTAAGCTGGACTGGGCAGGGCTTGAACATAATGATGAAACCAAAGAAGAGAAGTATGTCTCATGACCTACCACCCGCACCCACATCAGCCACAACCCCCATTCGATAAGCCAGCTGAAATGCTAGTACATGAGTATGTGCTAGCACACAGACCAAAAAAGGCCAAAGCCAGACTTGAAAGAAAGCAAATGATTTCCAGGATTTTCCTGGCAAGAAGCCTGTTGCGCGACGATACACTAAACTCTTCCTCGTTGGGGCGGCGAATCCGAAGTTACACCACTTGTCAGCAGCCCGCTCCAACTGTAGAAGTTCGTACAAAAGCGAAAACCGTGATCACTACAGCGCGGCCACCCATACTAGTTACTAGTGGGAATTACTGCCATGCCCCCGTATGGACGTGGAAAAAAAGCTGGACGACCACCATCTTTACAAGGGCGAAGCCTCAATAAGCGCAGCCGTTGGTAAGACTCCCGACACACAGCAGGAACTGGTGTCCATGTACATCGCAGAACAACGCATCCTTCCTGGCAGCCTCCAATAGGTGTGCGGAGCGTCCCTCAACCCCAGCCCCAGCCGAAAGCCAGCCGAGGCTGAAGGGACGGCACGCGAAACAGAGCTGGCGAGGCGGGCTCCAAGCATCATCACATCCAACCACATCAGCAACGGTAGTCAAACAGAGCTGACGAGGCGGGCAATCGGCAACGGAGGGGAAACAAAGCTGGCGAGGGCGCTCCAGGCATCCTTACATGCAACCAGAACCGCATCAGCAACGTGGGGAAACAGAGGGGAAGGGGGGCGGGGAAGGGGAAGTATGTACACATGGTGTCGTGCTCAAAATGAGAACTGTGCCTACTGAACGTCCCGTGTTTATGGGCAGCATTGTGCTTACAAGCAGTCCTTGCCTTGCGTTTGACTGTAATGCAATTCCCCTCGAGGAGCAACCCCCATAACCCGCTTGCGCTCACCCCCCGCCACCCGCTCTCAAGTTTCCTCAAAGTGTTTCTTCCTAAGTGCTGAATGTACAGCTGCGGACTTGAAGCTTTGGGCCTTTGAGGCCTATGGGATTTGGCAGCGACAATGAGCCAAGCACCTAGTTGTTCTATCTTGTGATTGCTGCAATCACTCACATGCCATGCCGCCACCAAAGTCAAGCACATCCGTGTAACAGTCTAAAGCCCATCACCGGTAACCGTGTCTGCCCGCATCAGCCTCCTTTGGGGACATCCCACTTCATGATCTAGGATTGCCAATTTGACATCTATCTTTTAGGTTTTTGGGCAGGCATCCTGCTATAGTGTTGGGTGTAGGGATCACCGTGCTTCACCATCATCTCCTTTTGGGGGGTTTGGGCTCGCCAAGCGAATCGGCAACGAAAAAGTGACAAGCAATTACAGGTCCGCGGGGTTCAGGAGACAGCGTGCCCGAAGCAGTCGGTGAACCCTTCTGTGCATCGGTGCATGCTGCATGCACTGCATGACAGTGCCTTTGCCAAGCTGGCCAACTGAAGTGTACAAGATTCCAGAGCTCAAGTTTATCGCGATCTCCGGCGTTGTCGTGCGGCTGGCGCGGAAAGATCGGAGGGTGCTGCTTCCACCACCACCACCACCACCGGTTTTCTAGATACGCATCAACTGCCGTCTGCTGGTGGTCAAGGCTTGAACCTGTAACGAATCCTGAAGCCTTAGGAACTCGACTGCGACCTCTGCAGCCTCCGCTTTAAGAAAACCCGTCCTGGACACATGTCTTAGGTCCGGCGTTGAAACGAAAAAAAGTGTCGGCTCGGTTCTGCAGCTTCAAGGTTGGCACAGTGAGTCTAGGCTTCCAAGCATCCTCCTGTGCTCCGGCATTGTTCAGAAAGTCGATAGCCACAGGCGATCCTGGACTGCCCTAACACGATTCGCCGGACTTCAAACACGTCGGAATCTACCCCCTGCTCTGCACCCGCGAAGCTAGATGTTTTCGGCCAGTCGCATCACAACCAAGACATGAATCCAGCGACTACGGAGGTGCAATGAAGCTTCGCACAAAATTCGCCTAGCAAATGTCTGCTCTGATGCTCTGGATTGCTTCGGAGATGGAACACGGCGACCCCTTGAAGCTTCTGCAGATCGCACCCTCGCACACGCCTTGAGGCGACGAGCCTTCCATCGCCACTAGATCCGACGAGCGCAGGCACGCTTCTTTCGCTACATGCGCTACAGTGCTACAGGGCTGCACGACGTTCAGATTGTCGAAAACCTTGGAGATGAGAACACTCAATTTCTCGGAATGCGTGGCTCTACCAAGCATTCAGCATTCAGGCATTCTGTTTAGCCCATGTGATGAAAACACGCATGGTGAGACAAAAAGCTGCGGCACTTCAATGACATCCTCTTGCTTCTACAAGCTGCCTTCAATGTTTCTCCGATCATCCATGAACGTGGCTGCTGTGCACCCCATGTTGCAACCTTACCCTGCTCAGCTGAAGTCACCATTGAAGAAACCGCGTTATGCTTTAATTTTCGGTGCGCGCCTAATGGCTGAAAGTTAGTGCAGGGATCAAACGCTCCGGATACGTTCTCCCTACTTTTCGGTGCGTGCCTAGTGGCTGAAAGTAGGTGCAGGCAAAAAGCGCGCCGGGGCAAGTGGGCAGCCCCCCACCACCGCGCCCTCCACCCAACCCCCGGGCAGGGCAGATCTGCCGATCCTAACCCAGCCTAGCAGCCTACCTACCTGGCCTCCCTACGACCTCTCTGCGCGCAAAGCGACCCCAACATTGACGCCGGGGTTGCCCAGGCTCTGTCCCCGGATTCCAGAACGTTTGTCCCAAAGAAACTACAACAATGACACCGGGGTTGCCCAGCTTGGGCCCCGGATGTCTAAAACTTATGTTATGTAAGCATAAGAGAGATCAAGTCAACAACACCAAGAACCTGACAAATTTGATGGCTTCAGGCATGTCACAGGTAGCTAGTTCATTAAACCACAGAAGCCCTAAAGCGATGGATTTGCTCGACACCCAGACCGGCTATTTTGACCAAGCACACGATCTCTTAAGGTATCCGAGAACACCCGCTCCAGAGGATTCACGTTGTTTTCACGCCAGCCGCATCTTCATCGACGAGAAAAGCGACTCATGCCTTGGGATCCTCAGATTCCCGTGCTCTGTCTACGTCCAGGTCGCATCTGCAAGGTTTTTCCGGCCCATCATCCCGACTATATAAGACCGGAAACACGCGGAGCAGGTCGAAGCAAAGTCTCAATGCTCGGGACCGGGAGTGCTAGACATCACCTGCGTGCTCTGCCTTTGCATCACGTGGAAGAGTAAGCCTTCGTGGCCGTCTGCCGGGTCGTGCCGTCTGTGTGTCGGGCGGGGCACTCGTGATTTCTCGAACTCCAAAATCTCTGACGATGGTCCCAGTATCTTTTGTGATACCCGCGCCAAGCTGCCGTCCCCCACAGGGTAGGCCGAGTAGGCGGTATGCAGGAAACACTTCGGCAAGCTTAGAATCCAGACTTGCCGATAAGATCCATGAAGCCTCTGCAGTGCTGCCGTGAGGGCCCTGGCTTTCGCGGCCTCGAAGATCTTTAATCATCCACTGATCCTCGCCTGCTGGCCACCAGGCTGAGCCGGGTATGGACGGCATGATCTATTGTCCCACCGAGCCACAAACTGGGAAACCGAAGGTGCCACAAGAACTCAGACATATGCATGCAAGTGTAAGATGCTTCCCAGCGACCATGATCTAACAATGCTTCTTGCCCTTCAAGTGCTTTCGTGCTAAGGTGCAAAGCTTTCGAACGCACCAGACGTGCTCAGCTGGCAACAGATGGCAACGTGAAGTCGAGCTCAACAGCACTCGGATTCTGCCAAGATGCAAATCATCTGGAGCATACGATGTGTCCCTTTCTTCTGTCAGCAGGCAACGCGGGGAAGGCATCAATCTCTCTTTGGAGCGCTTGCCTCCAGTGCAGTCTTGGAAAGATCCGGCCCTAAGTCATAAACCAGCTCGAGGACGGCATGACCCGACTGAGCTGAGCAAGAATCCTCAGCTGCCTTTGGCCTTCTACTCTGAGCCCCCAGACAGGTAAATGCAGGAGAGGCAATCCGTCGGTCGTGCAGCCGCTCGAAATGCTCTTTGTGCCGCAGCGTATTCCAAGCAGACAGCTCTGGACTGTACGACTTAAAGGTGTCCCATGCAAGCAAGCAAGCCCCAAACTCTTGCTCGGTCTTCGGTGCACTGTGCAAAATTGAAACTATGTGACGCAGCAAGCGTCGCGTCCACCAGAATGCAACATGTGGCACACAGACAAAGATGGAGCGTGATGCTGAAAACTCCAGACCAAGGCTTTTCCAATCTGACTCCCCTGGACGAAGTTCCAAGGCATGCTCCCACTTGAACGAGGAAGCACATGAAGAGACCGCGGCAGACGCGCTCAACGCATCTGGGACGATGACCATGCGGGGCATCAGCTGCAGCAATGAATGCACAAGCTCCCAGCGACGAGCCCGTCCGCAGGTGCTGAGCGATGCATTCAGCACATGGAGGTTCAAAGACGGGCTTGGCTGGAGAAGTGCAGTGAGGCAAGCTTGCCAGCCCAAGCTACTTGGGCCCTGGCCCTTGTCGCCCAAACCCAAGACACGGATCTCTGCTCCTTTTGTGATTGCCGATGGGGTCAGGCGAAAGCGACGGACGGATTCCAGGCAGTGGAAAGCCTGAAGCCACTGCCCACTCCGAGCCGCCGCTGCAATGGCAGCATTGAAGCATCCAATGCTCGCTACGCTTCGGGTCCGCACTTCGTCCAATAGGGACAGAGCAATGCGCCACTGCCCAGCTCGACCTAACGCATCAATGGCTGCTCCAACCCCTTTGGCTTCGCCAAGCGCATCTAGCTGCCGTTGCCCTTGTAACTTGCAATCGCCAACAGTGAAGGCCAGCGCCAACTCCCACCGAGACGCACGGCCGCACGCACTGATCAGCACATTAAGGCTCGCTGAGTCGGCGTGGACCCTGCCTCCAAGCATGCTATCGACAAGATGAAACGACCACTGCCAGTGAGACGCACGACCACATACTGCAGCTGTCGCATTGTAAAGGACGACGTCTGGCTGCACCAAATACTTTCCGGATGCAGAGAGCAGGCCTAATGCCTTGGTCCAGGCCGACGCCTGAGATAGAGCACTAATGCCGGATGAGATGACCAGAAGACGATCTCGAGACACTCTCAGGCCGTCGTGCACGGGTACATCAGTGGCCTCATGATCCTTCAGTCGACCCAGTGCTAGTAAAAGACCTTGTTCCCAACCTGTCTGCCGCACCAACTTACTAATTGTTACAGCCAGGCGCGCATCTTTGAATTTGGCCAAACACATAGGCCCGGGACAGAGATGACATCTGAAGCGCTTCCATTGGCGGCATATGTTCACCGCCGCCGCCTGGGGCACACCGTCTGGAAACAGCCGGGCTCCAAAGCAAGATCAATGTACCCCGGAAAGGCAAAGCTCAAAGCTCCATCCACCGTGGACACATGAAGGGCATGCATATAACGCACTTGCTCATGGCCGATGTGGGAAGACTAGGCAGAAAATAAACCAAAATTCGACATTGATGCCATTGAGTCAGTCACAAAGGACGGTCAGCAGCGTCCAAGCACAAATCTGGCCAGTCAGTGACGATTGTAATCTAGCTCAAGCGCAAAAGCATCCGTGTTGCATCCTTTTCAACTCGCACAACTTGTCGAATCAAGCGCTGCCAGCCATACTTCAAACACAGACAAGCAGCTGAACGTGACCAAAATACGCAAGAGACTTCTGGTAGTCAGAAATAGTGATTATGGTGAGGCCTACCTCATCGTTTAATGCTCGTGCTTTGTTAATCACCAAAGAAAGCGGGTTCTCAAGAGCTGGACTAGGACGCGCCCCTCAGATTTAAAATATGCAGTCGTTCACTCGACAGCTGAGCCGTAGTCGTCTGCCGCGGAGACGATTCATTCAATGGCAGGAAGCATCTAGGCTCACAGGCTATGTTTTGCGGGCGCTGCCGGGTTCGTCTGCAAGTATTCCGGCATCCATAACTCTATGACGACAGCTACTTTGCCTTACTCCCAGATGCAATCTAAAGCAACGTTGATCCGGCTTGCGGGGGGGCGCTCCTTGTTGAAGACTTGTCTGGTGAAGCAGCAGCGGACGCTGAGGCGTGTAGGCCATCTGCATCTTTGCTCATGCTAGTCTATGGGAAGCTCGCAGCTGCTTCCACGAATGGACGATAATCGATGAATACTCCACCAATGACAGGCCATGTTCTCTGCAGAAATACTAGCTGCGAAGCCATGTGAAGCCTTCGCATCCAATCCCACACCCCTAGAGCACATGGCCAGAGTGGGCTAGGTGGCAAAGCGACTGCCAATGTTGGCAAATCGCGAGTGGGGTCGCCACATTCTCTGGGGCGATCAAAGACTTCACACTTCAAATAGTTCCCAGTCTCCGGTCGGGGTGAAACAGACCAGGTGCCTGGATGTTTTGCTCTGGCCATCGTGCTATCAGAAAAAGACTGCAAAATCTCTCCTGAAGCGAAATAGCAATCGTCCGTAGTATGAAATAGGAACTGCTCTGAACGTCCTCTCTGGCACTTCTCTGGCAAAAAGTTGCTATGGACATGGGCAAGCATGAGCAAGCATCACTGCTGTGCGGACAGCTACCGCTCCTTCAACGGAACAGATGGACAGGCATATGCGCTGATCGGAGGCTTTATGCAGCATACAGTATAGTAGCAGATGTATTCCTTCTCTGACGTCTGATTTTGCATCCAAGCAATTTTAATCCAGAAGATTCAAACATGACAAAGAGGAACAATTCAAAAGAAAGCGAAGGAACCCACAAAAACCCTGTCGGACTTCCAAGTACAAGTACACCCCTCCGCTCAAGTGATGTTTCATACACTATATACACTCCATGAACGCTGCTCGACCTTTCTAGGTCGTAGCGAAGCTACCATGCTGAACTCCCTCGTTCGTGGCGGCTGCAGAATCCGTTCTCAGAGCCCGATGACAAATGTGCAGACAGCAGCCGTGCAACAGGATCATGCAAAGGCCTCTTCTTGAACAGTTTCTGCCGGGTTATCTTCTTTTTTCTTTCTGTCCTGTGCAAGCAGCTCGCGATGCAACAACGAGACAGGCTCACAAATGCCGACATGCTTCTGTCGAGAAGCCTCAGATGCTCTGACACGCAGTGACATAGACTTGTCGATCAGATGGTCCTTGCTCTTCCCTTTGCCATCCTTTCCTTTACCATTTTTGGACTTGCCCTCCTTGCCCTTGCCGTCCTTGCCCTTGCCGTCCTTACCCTTACCTTCCTTGACATCCTTGCCGTCCTTCCCTTTTCCTTCGCCTTTGTCTTTTCCTTTTTCTTTACCTGTGTCCTCAACAATGACATGTTTGGCTGCCAGAAAACTCAACTGAACTAACCTATCCAAGTCAGAGTGAGGGTGAGGATGAGAGCCAGGGTGAGGGTGAGAGTGAGAGTCAGGGTGAGAATCAGAGTGAGAGTGACCTGTGTCCTCAAGCACATGAGGTCGATGAGTCCGACAGTGAGAACTGCAGCTGGCATGGTCCTTGCCCTTGCCTTTCCCCTTTGTCGATGCACTTGCTGGCTGACCTCAGAGTACGAGCCTCTGGCTATGAAAACCGAAAATGTACGTCACGGTGCGCACCTGTTGCAGATTGCAAGTCCTGCGCCTGCGGCCATCCAGCCTGCGCCAAGGCTTTCGACGGCATAGGACTTCGGTGCTGTACGGGTCTGCTGAGTTTCTGGTCAACAGCCAACCGCGACTGGCACTTCACGACGTAACAAAATGACAAGGCTACAGTAGAATGGATTTGCCAGCTCCATGGCAGAGCTGTCTCCACGGTGCCTCATTCACCGTCACAGTGACAGTAACCTGCAGACGGGGCTTTTGGCCTCGGAAACCGCGAAGCTATCGTGTAGCACCGGCCTCGTCACCCACTTTGAAACCATTCAGCTGTGCCTGCATCGGGCACCACTTCGCTCTCAGAGTTCAGTAGAACACTCGCCTTGTGCACGAAGAGGTCGCGGCCAAACTGCTGCGTGACTCTGGGACATTCAATGAAACCGTAACCTCGAGCAGCAACATCTACGAGACTGAAAGTTTTTCATCTGCTTGTCCAGCCTTTGTCGTCGTAGAAAGACTTTATTCTTCCCAACTCACCTAGAGATGCTCTGCATTATTCTGCACTCGTTGTCTCGCCAGTTCTGACACCACTTCAAAGCTGGACGATCAATTTGCAGACGCGGCACGAAATGTTCCGCCGCCTTCACTGCACAAGGCACCAAGTGCAACAAGGACACACAGGCACATCTTCTATCATCATCCAGAAGGCTGACCTTTTTCGCCGGTGCCCTTGCGCTGGACCTGGACGGGCACATACGGCCTCAGTGCTCCAGGCTGATCCGACATTGTTGGTGCACCCCCGAGATGCGGACATCATCGTCGGTTGGGGATAAAGAAGCGGCCATGGAGGGTATCCTGGATCGGACGCATCATGAATTGACGTACGGCGCTGCCGCTGCATTGTGTCCTGAAGTTTGCATGGAAGAAAGCATAGGGCTCGTCGAAGGCACGAATTCTGGGGCTTCTCCACGCAGTGTCCCTGCTGGCAAGTGCTCTGCTCCCTTCTTACATTCCGAGAAAGAAAACTTCGATGGCACGATGGCACGGCCAGCTCTTGCCTTTCTTTTCCGGAGGAGCAGGCACAGAGACTGATGCAGTTGTGCTTGCTGCGCCTTCCTTGAAAGCCTCAACAGAATCGTTAAAGTAATGGGCTGCCCGTGGCAAGCATCTGAAAAGTGCCTTCTTCTCATCTCTGCTGTATGCTCTTATGTAGACACAGTCCGGAGAGAGCTGGTAGCCTGGGCCACACACAACGTGATACATGCATGCCACGACGGGTAGTCGCAAGACTTGGTCCAAGACGAAGCTTCTGAGCGTTGGAATCGACAATCACCTACGCCAAGTTCAAACATACACGTGACGGGGACGTCACTGCTCAGACCAGCCCCGCCTTCATCAGGATCTCTTTTGTGATTTCTTTAAAATACTCGGATGTGAGAACCTCTGTCACCTTGACCCAGCCATCGGCACTTTCCGAATTCAGACCGACCTGAGCAAGCACACAGAAGAACAGACTGAATGAAGGCTCCGCAATGCTCTGCACTCCACCTCTTCACCCTCTCCTTTCTGCAGGCAAGCCGCGCTTTTGTGCTTGATGCCGTGACGCAAAAGCCACGACAACATCTTGGAAATGACCACGGTTGGGTCATCTGGCCGTGCAGCTCAGCATGAAAATTGCACGAAAGCAGGATCACAAGGTCTGTCAGATTTCATTCCTGCCTGGCTTGACGGCCTTCCCGGGTGGCTTTGCAGCCGTCTCCACCACCATCGTTCCACCGGCTTCACTGCTATTGTTGGGAGCTTGCGCAGAAACGAAACTGCGGAGGCTGGTCCTTGTGTGAAGATGACCACATCGGGGTTATGCAGAGAAAGCCCATGCAATGCCAAGCAATGCATGCAGGCAATGCATGCGCGGACATCATTTGCAGCTCGGCCTACGTTGCTGATCGGTATGAAACATGCGCTGAAACTGCGCAGAAAATTGCTAGTCCACAGACTGTGAACCACTGACTCTATCAACAATCCTAGAGCAGGAGATGGCATGGCTCTGTCAGCAGATGCATCTGTGGCATTGATGTCGAAGCTACATGGTCTTTCGTGCACCCGTCTCCCTGAGAGCGAAGGCGAATCACGAAGAGCAGACGACCCACGATGAAGGGGCTCAGATGGCACATTTGCAGCAACTGAAGACAGGACGGGGAGGGTCCCTCGTAGGTGATCGGGTTGTGGATGTCGAAGCGAGCCATTCCTCAAGCAGATCAATAAGGGCGCCACCCTGCCGCAACACATCTTATCCGAGCGCCTTGTGGCATGTCGTTCTGGTACTTCTGAAACGCCTGCCACTGCCCATCCCGGAAGCACAACGTGCCACAGATGCATGGACGAACTGGATTTCCGACAAAGCCTCCAGTGCAGCAGGCTTGTCATTGTTCTTCACTGCCTTCTCAAAGGCCCTTACATCAGCCTCTGCCAGTGTGGTGTAGTGCAGCAAATGAGCTCGAAAGTTAATCCGAAAGCCCTGAGGTCACGGCGTTCAGTTTGTACACGGTCTTGTCAGGAGCTTCGTCTCTCGACTGAAGACCCTGACGTCACATGAACGGTGAAACAAATCGAAAAAACATCGTGAACTGAGTGGCCATACAATTCTTCATTCCACCGTGTTCGAAACGTGTTAGTGCACGACCTTGTAGATTCTGTTTGCCGAGTTTTAAAAGAGAACTGAGGAATCCTGTTCTTTTTCTTTGAAAAAAACAAGCGTACCATTTCACTTGCTACGCTTTTTTGAGATTGAGACATAAAAATTGTTGAACTGCTTGCAAGCAATATGTGTCACCAGCGGATGGGCCTGCGCATCCCGATTCTGAACAACTTCCGTTTGCGATTTCATGTTGGTTAGGCCAACACTACGGTTAGATGATTTACAACGAGAATATCAACAAATGCTTATGTGTTCCATGTCCAGACAATGCGTCGTTCTATACGAAGAATTGTGCAAAACGAATTGGATCATGGTGGTGATTCTATCAGTCGACACATAAAAAATAGGAATAAAAAGGTATGTATGTACGTATGTATGTATGTATGTATGTATGTATACATTTGTATATATATATATTTATTTATATATATATATTTATTTACTTATTTATATTTATATGTATATTTATATGTAGACTTATCTACATAAGTCTATATAGGAATATACAGTTATACATATTTGCATGTAAACCTATATTCATGCATACAGGTAAACCTATACACATGTATATAAATATATGTATCTGTAAATGTATATATATATATATACATATGTAAATGTGTGTGTGTATATATATATATATACATATATATATATACCCCTTTTAAGGATTCAGGCTGTGAAAATTGTAAAATGGTGATTCCGGCTCCGCCCTGCCTTTGGAGATTCCCGCACGCCCCTTCTCCCCAAACTCTCGGGAGAATCACCGTCTTGGAAGATTTGAGCTTAGAAGTGTTAAAATGGTTGTTCCCGCGCGTTGCCCCGCTCACAGGTGGGCGAATCATTAGTTTGGAGGATTTGGGCTACGAAAGCGTCAAAGTGGTGATTCCCGCAATTAGAAGCTCGCTGATTGAAGCAGAAATACATCACTATTACATCCTATCCGTGTGTATGATCGATTAAGTTCTCAACTGGGGTCAAAGTTCTCAACTCAAGTAGTTATCAACTCTCAACTCAAGTCCACACGAGCGCACACTGCTAGGGTTGAGCCTACACGCTTGTCAGTGTAAGAAAAAAGCTTGTCGTTGTGGTGGCAAGGCCTGTCGGTGTGCACCTAAACCCGTCGTGGTAAGGACCTACTCTGGTGTCCAAACAGATCCAGGCGCAATAACTGAAGGTTGATTTCCGTGATGCATATGATACGTATACATACCTGAGTATTCTCGTGATACTGCAGGTGAGGGGCTAGAAGCTCAGGGAGGTGATTAACAGATCGATAGTCGCACGGTTTATGCGAGCACAACCACACTTTCCAAAGAAAGCCACAGCACTGACATTGCAGCAAAAGTGCATCACACATGTGAGCAGAAACAAATTGCCATTGCGCACCGCATAGGCTTCCATCTTTTTGCACATCTTCGGAAGAAACTTCATCATCCTGCCAGCTTCCAGACTGATGCAGACTACATCGCGCCCTCTGCACTCAATTGCACTCACTGGGCAGAAGTACGCAAATTACAAAAAAGCAGTCGAGCCACCTCTCGTCAATGTCGTGCCCTTCCAAGTAGTCGATACCCTGTCATTGCAAGCTAACGATAACAAGGCCTCTGCGGCCTGTCGCATGCAGCTTATGCCCATGCCTGCTTCATGTACGGAATCAATTCCCTCTTGCGCCTTCAGGTGCTTCATGCTGAGCTACATGTACAGTGTGCGTGGCTTTTGGGCCCAAAACCACAGCCGATCAGCCAATCAGCCGATCAGCCCTAAACCCTCAACCCCTAAACCCTAGACCCCCAAACCCTAAACCCCTAAACCCTAAACCCCTAAACCCGACCAGCCGATCAACCAGCCGATCGGCCGATCAGCCCATCGGCTGATGTGCAACTTGGAAACCCGCTAAGTGCTAGCACAATGTAGATTTAGCACTCAAGCCTTGCCTGTTCATGTATTCGACGGTGTCTGTAATTCCTGCCGGAAGGGCAGACGCCACTCCGGGAGCGCCTTGCACGGGCACTCTCACACGGCGCGCTCGGCTTTTCATCTTGGGGCCCAAACCCAGGATCGGTACGGCCATCAACAGAGCTCGACGAGGAGCCTCGCCTGCAGGGCCACAGTGACTACCTCAGAGGTCTTCCGCTCTCTGCGGAGCCCTGCCTGGCAGAGAGAAGCTCGCCGCTCCTTCGGGCGCGTGTTCTGTGCTTTTGAATGGAGAGACTTCCTCGGATATCCGGTCGCGCACCGCAGGAGCGCCAGAAGGCACAGGCCGCCACCGCCGTACCAACGAGCAGCAACCTCAGCCACAGCCACAGCCGGTCAGCCGTTTTTCTCGACTATGCGAGCAAGCAGATCGCCTTCGGTCAGAGTGTCTTCGCATGGCCAGCTTACCTGAGCATCAGTGGGTCTTGGCGGATGGAACGCGGTTCTTCATTGCTTGCAAGTGACTCATGCGGGCACCGAGGAATGAGGGAATGCTCTGAGCCTTTTGACAAGCGACGGACAGCCCAGCAAAAGGTATGGTTGTCAAGCACCAACTACCTCTGCTGGACTTTATTGGCTGGTGGACTTCTCATGTTGCTCATTTAAGCACATTTCATTCTGAAATCTTTTTTGTACAGTGAGACGTGCGCTGAGCAGCAAAGGTGAGACATAAAGGCATCTAGAAACTCGGGCTCCCTCAGGCCTCCTCCAAGATCCAAGCCCTTGCTGGGGAGATGATGCCTCCGAAGTAACTGCGCACAAGCTTTGCGATGTTGTCATCGTAGCTCTGGACAGCCCAGATGAGATGTACCTGGCACTGCGGATCTAGGAATCTGGGAAAGCACACAGCAAGACACATGAGGGCTTGCTTTGTCGCCATTCTGGACTTTGGTTGGCATAAGGCTGGGTATGCCGCGAAGAAGTCGAGTTTCCCTTTTGGACGACCTGGAAAGCACTCAGCGATTACCATCCGAGCACAAGATGTGCAGACTCACGAGCGGGTATGCACAGGCAGAGCCAGAGTCAACTTGGAAGAGCCTCGTACTTGCAGCCAGAAGAAAGTCCGGCTGCATCGGCGTGCAACTGGCTCAGGCAGCTGGGTATATAGATGGCTGGGCATTAATGCGATTCATGCAATTTGTCAAAACGACCCGCCTCTAGCAGCTGCTTGGCATGCCGGTCCTTCCTGTCACTAGACAACTTGCTGCGACAAACTTTCATGATACAACAACACCAGCTTGCACATCACTGTTTGACAGACACGCGGATAACAAAGTTGACTCAAGATACTCAAGCAGCTGCTTCAGCCAGCAGCGGACTGATGCCTTCACAAGCAATTCCCGACGCGGATGCATGAAAGTGCTTTCCGAATGCTCTGGTTGAGTAGCAGGAGGTGCTGCACACAAGCTCTCCTATGCTTGTCGCAACTTGCAGGTGCTGTGAGATGCGGTTCCGCGGGCTCCATCGTGCACTGTTGCACTCCTTTAGAGTACATCGTTCCTGCGTTCGTCCCTCTGGAGTCCTCTGACACTTATGCAAGTAACAGCGATCATTGGATGAGGTTCGCAGGGCTCGGTAGCACCCCTCCGGGTCGACCTCCCCCCGGCGCCCCAAAGGGCGTGCTTGGATGGATCCCTCCGCATGATCGCGGTCTGCGCTTTGGGTCCTCTTCCTCCGTGTGATGGTGGTCGACCCCTGCCTCGGGGCCGGAACGGTGGGCTGGTTCCGAACCTCCCTCGGCCCCTCTTCTAGACCCCCAAACCTCCCGGCAACCCTACATGGTCGATTTGGATTACCACGACCCATTCAAACTCCGAATCCTAAATCCAGAATCAACTCAACCTTTACCAGGGCCGGGTGCCTTGCAAACTCGTTAGCACAGGTTCACAGATTGCTCTCGAAACGACACAAGGGGGTTTCTCTCTTCGAAAACGAGAGACACCCAAGGCAGAGATGCTTGCCTTGTGCGATGCCAACAAGTGCAGCACTCCGGGAACTTTGGTGTGTCCATACACCCTGGGAGACGTCAAGAAAAGAAAAAGCCATGAAAAGTCTTACTCTCTTGGTGGAAAGCTGCTCCGTAGCCACTGCCGCTCTTTGCAAGCAAGCAAAAGGGAGATTGACTGCGTGATCCGCTCTTGCGAAGGCGAAAAGGGGAAGCCAGGAGCCTACATGCAAGCGTGGAGGCCTAGAAGGCTTGCAAGAAGTGAAACGAAGCGAGAGCAAGAGTGCAAAGGTGAAGACGGGGCCTGACGGAGTGAGTCACAATTGACTTTGAAGCATCACAAGGAGAACTTTTGCTGAATAGTCGGCAGACAAATGCCGTGGTTCATCTGCGTTACAAGAAACCCCACGTGCGGAACTGGCATGTAACGAGGTGTTCACTCTTTGAACATCTTCAACCCGACCGAACTCAACACCACCAACGAGCCTGTCGGAAGCATGCACGCGATGAATGAACTGGAAGTTGGCCCCAGTTTCCTCCCAACAGGTCCAATGATTCTACGAGCGACATCCATTTCGCACCAGCCTTTCCGGCGCGGCCAGTCCAAAGGCTTGGGACCTTGCAGCAAACGGCTGAAAACACGAGCTGCTCTGCGAACAAGTCTAACACTCCTGACTGCCTGGCCGTGCAAGTCCGAGACACAAGGAACACATGTCACTTGAGACGATGATCAAAACAATCTTCGATTCGACAAGTTGCGCCAGGATGCCAATCAACAAAATTCATTGTGCAAAGAACGTAGACGTGGTGTCTTCAGCTGAGCCAGCACTCTGAGCAGTCCCCAAACGATCACCCTCGAGTTCATTGGCTTCATGAAAGTAACCTTGTGAACGTCCCTTCCTTGCCAATCGTTGAACAGTTTGGTAGTTTAGTACCCTCATCACCAGCATTTGGCTGGGTCAGCTAGCCTTTCTCAAGCAACTGCGGATGGTCACTCGTGCCTGAGGGCAGGCTCTTGGACTCTAGGGACACTGCTGACGTTGACATCTCAACCAATCCGCGCGAAATATGCTGGTGCAGGTCTGCTGCACGCGGGCCATGTCGGAATGGCCTTCGGGCCAATGGCAGAATGCCAATAACAGCTGGAAGGGTCAGGGTTGACAGAACAGCTCCCCCAGAATCTCCCTAAACAGCGGGCGCACAGAGAAAACGTCGTTGACTGAACAGTGAAAGCAGGCTCGTCCAGTCCGGTCGTGCCAATTGGCGTTGAATCTAATGAATTCAGTTGATTAAGTTGCAATGTCGTCAGATGCTGATGAAGCTTCCGACGAGCCATTAATTTGATCCAACAGTGTGCTGAGTGACGAAAATCGACAAGATGCCACTCACTCATTCATGGTGTTCTGTCGCGCCTGCCAGCAATCTGTCCAGAGTCTGACTCAAGCTTCTATGCTGTCATGCAATCGATGTAGCTGTGATTCTGATGTTTCTCGCTCAAAGGCTTACATTGAAAGGAAGGGGCAACTGGCCTCCAAGTACATGCTAAGCCGTTGCACTGACCATGTGACTGTAGTTCGCAGCTGATGAGGATCTCGATAAGTCGCTTCATTGTGAGTGACTGCAACGAAACCCGCACCCATCTCTGCGCAACGCCATTGAGCGAGGGTTGGAGATACCAGCAGTGGGAAGCCGGATGCGATTGTTTTGGACGTGTTTATTGAGGTTCCACTCGGTCCATAGGTAAAGACTTCAATTACAGGAGGCTACGGCTTGCCTTGAGTTCGGCCTGGCCAACGGTTTTTGCAAAGCCACTGCCTGCAATTGCCAGCAGCGCTTCTGCAGCACCTGCATTACCTGCATAGGATGAAAATGCATGACGTGTCAACTTGGGCCGCGACAACCTTTATAAAAACAACTCCGTAACCGGAATCTGATAATATGTTCAGTGCCAGGTATGTCATTATATTGAAAGTACCACCGCAATCGCGCCTGTGCATGCTGCACATGAGCATGCTCACATACGCGGACAAAAGCAGCCATCTCCTCCCGACATGTGTCACATGAGAAACGACGTGGCAATGCTGACAAGACGTGCACTACATAGATCAAGAGGAGTCAAGCCTGCGGCCACGAGCGGAACTCTGGATCCACGAACACCTCGCCTGCATGAGCTCTTTATCTGCACAAAAAGCATGCTGGCACTAGACGAATGACACAATCCGCTGTTGGCATGCATGCAAAGCGCCATGCACTGTAAAGAACCCTGAGGCAATCCAAGTGATGCACGACCCATGGCATCTGTGGATACCCCACCCAGCAAATCCACGCAGAGACGCATTTCTGTTTACAGATCGGAACATGTTAATTTAACATGCAATGCACACAAGCGTATGTCTAAGAACTATATATGTCAACCACACATGTACGAGCACGTGATTCGTGTGAAACTTCAAACTTTGCATCATCAGCTTTATCACGATAATCGGTGCATGACAAAATTATGTGATGTTGCGGGGGCTTCTCAACGGCAGGAAAAAAATGGAAGAAAACTCGGATACGGGGTGTCCCGGCCAGCATGGCTTACACACGTGTGTGTATTCATGTGTTCTCTAGGTCGCACTGCTCTAT